AACTGGGATTATAGGGTAGTAGGGTTATATTGGGGTTATATTGGGTTTATATTGGGATAATGGAAAATAAAATGGAAACTACTATAATGGGTTATATAGGGTATATATTGGGGTTAAATAGGTATGGGATACTGCATGGCTCTATGTAGTCATGCCTCTGAAATTCCGGTGCACTAGCATACGAAGGCCACGCTGGACTTTGAATATCAACAGTCATGACTTGGATATCCAATCCCGGCTGGTGGGATCGGGAACAAGAGCTTGGTCGCGGGCAAAGGGCACGTCATCCACTGCCTGTGGCTTGACGAAGGTGTCATCGGTCTCATCACCAATGGCCTGTTTCTGCCGGTTGTACCTTAAGTACTTCACTGCACACTTCAAACTACCCAAAAACGTGATGAACACGCTACACCGCTACACCCGCTAAACCCTAAACCCTAAATTCCAAAAACCCTTAACCCACCCTAAACCCTAATCCCACCCTAAACACAAAACCACAACTTCCTGTCGGAAGAGGTTGAGGTTGCTGAAGCTCCAACACCCCCATCAGGCGCTGAGGTTGCTGCCCCCAGCCACGCAGTGTTCCGTCCTAAGAAAAGCATTTGAGGTTTAGGGCTTCAGGGTTTAGGGTTTAGGGTTTTGGGGGGGTAAGTTTCCACAGAGACAACGCGGGAGCCAGATTGGAGCGGAATATGAGGGCTCCCTCCTGCACTGTAAAACTCCTAAACTCGAAGAGGCGCAAATCTGCTTACAACGACCCTAAACCCTGGGTATAGGCCCTAGGCCCTGAGCCCTGAACCCCACACCCAGAGTTGTTGGGAGAAAGGTATTCGGCGCCTGCCAGGGCGTAGGGTTTTGACTGAGGCGGCAGCGTAACACACCAGGATGCCATGGGCCTGCAGCATTTGAAGATATACCATTGCTGGGTTGTTGTTAAGGAACTTAACATACCACAATGGATATGTAATAGTAATTTATATGGTTTGCCTAATACAGTAACTCCAGAGTAAATGCCCCTGGTGCGACGCCCCCTTCCTCGTTAGAAGGGGCCAGTGGATGTCCTGAAAGCTAAGCTGGGTTGTTCTTAGGGAATTTAATTTGATACATGTAAATATGTGAGGATACATATACACAGAGAGAGATATAGATATATGTATATATATATGTGTGTGTATACATAACACGTATGTAGAAATATGTGTATGTAAATACACGTATATGGAGACTTATCTACAAGGATTCATGAATGCAGGTTTAACAGGATGGGAGGGTTGGAAGTGGCGCTTCTGCGGAAATCCTGAATCCCGGCGCCATACCTGTAACCTAGATCCATAAGCACCAAAAAAAACACTGAGTAATGTCCGTGGTGATAAGATAATTTTTATTCTTCTTTTGCAATACGAGAACTGAAGGATTACTTTTTCCCCTACTCTGGGGATTCTGGTCTTCCAGTTTGAAGTAGTAGTTTCCCAAAATGGGGGACCCCACTATAGACCCCCAAATACTATAATCCTTATTATGGGGACCCCCAAAATGGTACCCCTAATTTTGGGAAACCCTTAGCCCTAAACCCTAAATACTAGCTTCCATTTTCTTTTCCATTATCCCTACATAACCCTTCTATTACCCCTATAAACCCTTCCTTAATGGTAGGTACCCCTAATTTTGGGAAACCCCTAAGTACTGCTCAACTAGCTCCAGCCTCGCCGACAGCGGCCTCTGTGACTACTTCCGTCATGACTTCGACCCCTGTGGTGCTGACCATGTCCATGACGCCAGCCTTCCCCAAGAAGAGGGTTTAGGGTTTAGGGGTTTAGGGTTTAAGGGTTTAAGGGTTTAAGGGTTTAGGGCTTTGGGTGACAGAAGGAAGAATTGGAGAAATCCAACGGTTGGCATGATTTGTATCAATACTGCGGGTATCTTGGCGCCGCTGCTGCTTGGCCAAGGTTCAAGGTTGACAGTAAAGGATTGAGAGCTAAGTAAAAGGCTAGGGGATTCAGAGGTGTAGCATCCAGGACAAAAATAAGCATGCAAGGACTCTACAAAGGGCATAAGGAAGTTTCCGAATCTTCACCAGCTTTGCAGCAGTACGTGTGGCATCATGACGGGTGAAAAAAAGACTTTATGATGACCACATGTAAAGAAAAACTTTGGCACTCTGGCTATCAAGCGTACAGCCCCTATCGTAACTGCCCAAGAACCTGCAAGTAGCTACCATTCCATTTTTTTCCGAAAATCCTATGCGCCATACTATACTTGATACCCCAAATCGAACAGAGAACAACCAAAGTGCAAAAGAGAAGTTGAAAAAATAACCCAAGATTAGAGGTCCTTTTTCAATCCCTTTGTCTGCTTAGCCCCTAAACCCTACACCCTAAACCCTAAACCCTAAATCCTAAATCCTAGGGCACAGATGCCAAAGTTGCTGGCCTCCGGCTGGGGACCTCCGAATGATAAGCAAGGTTGATAGGAGGGTTTAGATGTTATGAGGCGTGGGGGCTCTCCTCTCACGGCTTAAAGCAACTGCCACTTAAGTTGCACATTCAAGGAACAACTGTCAGCTCAACCCTCATGCCAGCCCACTCCATACTCCTGCATTGGCATGAATCAATATTAACGTCATCTAGCCTCCCCAATATACTGAAGACCTTATTCTTGAGACCCTGAAAGATGGATCCACAGCGTTCAGAACACCAGCTGCTTGCGTACACAATGGACCCCAAAATGCGAGGGCTGTGAGGAGAGAATGGATATTGCTCTCAAGAGCCTTACAAATTTAACCCGAGGAATTTAGAATTCATCGCCATAATGGACCTGCACCCTCCTGCAGTTTTTAGATATTCACCATGCAAATGCAACATGATCCCTATGCGCTGGTGTGTAAGGTGCTTGCCGCCACCCTTGTAGCCACCACTGCGCATCTCAGGGGCGACTTCGCCGTCTTCTCCAGCCTCAAAGAGCTAACAAGTTGGTTGCATGGTGGTGGTGGTAGTAGTAGTAGTAGTAGGTAGTATGAAGTAGTGGCAGTAGTGGTGGTGCCGGAGTGGTACATCCAGTAGCAGAAGCAACAGCAACAGCGGCGGCAGATGGTGGCGGTCGTACTCGTGGTCGTGGTTTTGGACGGTGACCATGCTTGTGATGACGGTCATCATGAAGGCGCTGGCACTGCTGCAGTGGCGGTCCTTACCCAGCCCAGCAGTATGTGCAAACACCTTTTTGCGTGGGCTTGAGACCGAGGTCTGTCGGGTGAGATGCGCTGAGATAAAAGCTTCCTTGTGAGGCATGGCCTACGGCCTGGCATCACATCGTATATGGCTTGAGGGGATCTTACCTCCGGTGCTGCCTGCCACGCAGCTCACTTCTTGAGCCAGACTTCACCGTTGCTCCATTGAATGGAGTGCTGTGTTTCAAAAGAGATCCTGCCCAAAAAGATGAAACCGTCACCAGCATCAATAAAAAGGGTATCTGTGGTGCTTTCAGGTATCTGGAATATTGCGAGGTCGGGCAGCCAGTTGGTCTTTACCTCAATCATATCCCCAGCCACTGTGGCCGCGCGCCTTCCATCCCTCAATGTGTACCAATTCCCTTGCAAGGCATCCAACACCTGCTGATGCTGAACCTTTTGGTCATCTCTTCCTGGTAAAAACTCCAAGGATGGTATCAGCGGACTGGCAGTCACCAGCTCAACCACTTCCGAGCGGCATTCTTTGCATGGGTTGCACCTTCCCCAGAGCCCGAAGGCAGATAAGTCCATGAGTCTCTGGCCAACCAATTGACAAGGCTGAGCCAGGCTACATGCTGCTGAGCACCAGCAGAGGACTAGAAAGTCTTGCTTGAGAATTGAATTTGCAGCAACCGTTGTCTGCAACAACCGTCTTCACACAGACTAAAGCAACACCACCACTGACACAATGATCGCGCCTGCTGCATGTCAGCAACGCTCGGGCCCTTGCGGGTACAGGTCATGCGAGTGTCCCAAAGCTACGGGTACCTACATTGAATCTCTGACCGGGACTCCATAATGCAGCTATAATGCACAAATATATAAATGTATATATATATATATGGGTGGTTGTCCAAAT